ACCCTTGCGCCCTTGCCCCTTCGGCCCATCCCTGACCGCGGTCGCCAGCCGCGTCGCGCTCGCAGAGTGTCGGCAGGGCCTTCCGGTGCTTCCCTATGATACGGGTTGACTGTATGGCCTGACATGGTTAGCTTCCGTCGCATAGTTTTGCAGCACCCCTGTTCCCCAGTTCGGCTTCCGCAACAGAGCTTGCACAGCCCTACTGTTTGGGGTTCAGACTGGTGAGCATGCTTTCGTTGCACGTGGCGCTTCTACAATTAAAGGCGTATGGTCCGGGCGTGAAAATAACATAAGTGTTCCTTATCATGCAGAAACGTGCATTTCCTCACGTCCTGAACTCATCAAGATGGCAGCTCGCCTGCACCTGATAATGTCAGACTGCTTATTCATCAGGCCGCCAGCGCATGTGATGCTTTCCCCCGTTCCAGACATAATCACGAGTATCGGACATCTTGGTGCACGGGCTATAGACCAATCGGTTTGAGCACCACGAGTCGTTCCGACAATTGTTGTGTTGCGAATCCGTGCATGTTGCGAAGTGACGTTAACTTTATGGCTCTTTGGCCGCTCGATGCATATATATATATGTACACACATGTACATACACATGCATACAATCATACAGACATACCTACATACATGTTTACATACATACATGCATCCATATATACATACATACATACATGCATACATGCATACATAGATACCTACATACACACATACATACATACATACATGCATACATACATACATACATACATACACAAATCCATTCATACACACATACATGCATACACACATACATACATACACACATCCATTCAGATATGCATATTCGTAAACATATATACATACACATATATATATATACAGATATATATGAATACAAATATACATATACCTATGCATCTGCAGATGCACAAACATCTACATATACATACATGCAGACACATGTACACACACATCTGTTTCTATATTTCTATCATCTGGGACCCCGCGAACCCCCCCCGCCTAAACGGGACTCCTCCGGAACCCTGGCCCTGGGGGCACGCCGTTGCAGACGGCCCCCTGTGCTCTCCGGAGGTCCCGAAGGACGTGCTGGGCCTGGGCAGCAGGCACGGATCGGTCCGGAGGGCGGCCGGAGCTCAAACACGACCCAAGAGTTAAGTCGGGCCTGTCCCCCTTCAGGGGGATTTTCGACGCAAAATAAGAAATACCCCAAAAATAATAAAGAAAACAGTCGAAAAATAGTCTGGGGATTATTTGTGGAATATTTTTGGGCCTTTCTGTGGCATTTACCTAACAGCTTGTGCTGATAGGTTTCTAGTAGGGTCAAAAGAGAGCATCATGACACTCCAGGGGGGTCCGGGCGGAAGCCGGCAGAAACCGCGAAAATCCGGCGGAGCTTATTCCGTGCGTGCAGGTACGCACGGGAGCCACCTGGGCGCCATCGGAGGTGCGTTCCGTGCGTGCAGGCACGCACGGGAGCCACCTCGGCGCCATCGGAAGTGCGTTCCGTGCGCGCAGATACGCACGGGAGCCACCTCGGCGCCATCGGATGTGCGTTCCGTGCGTGCAGGTACGCACGGGAACCACCTCGGCGCCATCGGAGAAGCGTTCCGTGCGCGCAGGTACGCACGGGAGCCACCTCGGCGCCTTCGGAGGTGAGTTCCGTGGGTGCAGGTACGCACGGGAGCCATCTCGGCGCCATCGGAGGTGCGGCTGAGGCTGAGGCTGAGGCTGATGCAGGCTGAGGCTGAGGCAGGCTGAGGCCGCAGGAGTATGCGGGAGCGCAGCAGGCTGAGGCTGAGGCAGGCTGAGGCTGAGGCTGATGCAGGCTGAGGCTGAGGCAGGCTGAGGCCGAAGGGGCATGCGGGAGCGCAGCAGGCTGAGACTGACGCAGGCTGAGGCTGAGACTGAGGCTGATGCAGGCTGAGGCTGAGGCAGGCTGAGCTAACTTATCCTGTGGAGCTCCAGTGTCACAGAAGATGCATATGTAGCTTCCTCGTCGCATTAGGGGCTCCAGCGTCACCGAATTTGTCCTTTCACCGTCGCTGTCGTGCCGCGGGGCGCTTCAGCGGGCAATCACGCGCATGAAGTACGCCACGCGTTTTCGACGAATTCTTCGCAGACAAGATTGCCACGACAAAAATCGCCTGCGCGAGGGCCCGACAGGCGCTGGGCTGGCCTGCGCGAGGTTGAGGAGCCCTGAGATGCAGCCTGCTTTGTGGCGGTGCTGTTCAGCCTGGCCGTCTGCATTCGCGTGGTTCTTCTGAGCCTGCATTCGCGTGGTGCTTCTCAATTTGCACTCGTGTGCAGCCGTGGATAGTGAGATACGGTGCTCCTCAGCACGTTTCGTTCGAGGCTGAATACATTGACAGCAGTGTCTCGTTTGGACTTACATCCATTGATAGCAGCGTCTCGTTTGGAATGAACACAAAAACGATGTGATGTCTCGTTGATCGCAGTGCCCTCTTTGCAGAGACATCCACTATTGATAGCAGCGTCTCGTTTCCAGACGCATCCGTAGTAGTAAGTAGTAGTGTCTCGTTCGAAATTCAATCCATTGATACTCGTGTCTCGTTTGGGGCGGGAACCATTGATAGGAGCGTCTCGTTTGCACCTACACCCCTGCATAGCAGCGTCTCGTTTGGAATGAGCACAAAAGAATGTGCTGTCTCGTTGATCGTAGTGCCTCCTTTGCAGACACGCCCACTATTGATCGCAGCGTTTCGCTTCCAGTCAAATCCGAACATGAGTCTAAAGACGAATGTTTCCACATATGCTCATGCACATGGCTGTTCGGTTGCTCTGCTGGGATAATTTTTGATTTTTGTTTAGTTGTCGTCGAAAATCCCCCCGTGGGGGGACAGGCCCGATTTGACCCAAGAACCGGGAGCCTCGAGACGGAGGTCAATGCAAACGGGAGCAGGGTGGCCTGGGGAAGCTCCCGGGGCCCCCCAGAATGAACCCAGGGGGCTTCTAGAAAACCCCAACATGCACTTAAGACAGATAACCTTCGTGAGACTTACAAGAGCCCCCCCCCCCCAGGATGAGAGTCCTCACAAGAAACTGCGGGTGGTGGCGAATTCGCAGGGTAGGGCGAGAAGGAGGGAGAGATGAAAAGGAAACATGAGGGAAGGATACCGAACAACATTGTTACAACGACGATGCCAGAAAAAATACGGAAGAGTCGTCGCTAACTGTTATGTTTTACATTATTGCCATCTTGCCTGTATGCCAAGCCTGAAGGACCAAAGTGCATGCCGCGAAGCGCCAATGCAATCTTGTTTGTATCTATATTTTTATATAGATATACGTATAGGTTGATGTGGATTATGGGCCAAAAAACGTAACCCTGACCCCCAGGGACCACCAGCCTTCTGGGGCACAGCTAGCCTCTCAAAACAGCCCCGTTGGGGCCCCCAGCTGGCGCCAGGGAGCCCGAACAGGGCACCAACAAGCCACAAGGGGCCCCCAAGAGGGCCGAGCGACAGCTCAAACGCCTCCACGACGGCTCAAACAACGCGGCTCCGCACGGTTGCCGGGAGGTTCCTTGCTCGGCCTTGAACCGCGAGGACCCCATTCGCTATTGGTTGTTGCGCGAGTGCGCCGACAGCTTTCCAATACCGCCCCTGGAGCCGCCAAGGGGTTGCCAAGAGGGCCCCACGGCAGCCCAAGAGGGCCAGGGACGCCTAACGTGCCGCCCAAGACTGGCCAAGAGAGGCCCAAGAGGGCCGCGAGAGGGCCACTGAGGAGGCGCGCGAACTCCGTAGCCGTTTTGGCTCAAGTTCCTCTAACATGGAAACCACTGCTCAAGGAGCTGTTCAAGCTGGATGCCGAGGCCCCCTTGATGACCGCAAGGGGGCGCGCTGGCTCTTCAAGAGACCAACGATTATAGAAATGGACGGTTTCTTGAGTGACAGGCAGTGCAAGAATGTCATGAAGGAGATAACGCCTGAATTGAGCAGTTAACGTGCGTGTGTGTGTGTGTGTGTGTGTGCGTGCGTGCGTGCGTGCGTGCGTGCGTGCGTGCGTGCGTGCGTGCGTGCGTGCGTGCGTGCGTGTGTGTGTGTGTGTGTGAAGACCGCTCCCCTCCCCTTTCTATCCATCTCTTCTGCTATCCTCTCGGCTCATGTATTGGATGTCCTATCGGATACTCCTGCGCCCGCTTCTCGTCGGGCGCGAGGATACAATATGTCCCTGTGTTGTCATCGTCCTCTACCTACGGACCCCACGGTAGACTCGACCCTCTGGTTGTTAACTTCCGTTCGCAGAGCGCATGGTTGGTGGCGACGCGCACCAGAATTTGCTCGACGTCGAGGGGCTGGATCAGCGGCTGGCGCAGGGGCTGTACGACTTGAATCAAGACGGACCGTTAAGCAATGCCGAATTCAGGCTGCTCCTGCGCTCTGCTGATTTCTGGTGAAAGACATGTTCAATGCTGGCCGGGAAAACAACATAAAAACATGGGGTTTGGCAGACTTCGTTAGTGAGGTGTTCGAGGGGAAACCGTGGTTGAACGGCCGTTAAAGCAGTCAGCGTTTTTTGCCGCGTGAGCAGTCTAATGCAGGAGCTATCCTTACCAAATTGTCTTAATTTCTCGGTGTTGCAGCCAGCGCGCTGAAGAAGCACGCGGGGCCACTTCAAATTGTCAAATAAGAGGGACAAGGCCATTATATGTGCCACCACACTCGCGGGAACGAGTGCACGTCAGTGGGCACGGAGCAAACGATTATATCCGCGCGCTCACAGCAATAGTCGACCTTCTAAACTGAGCGTCAGAGGAGCCAGGAACTACCGCTTACTTCGGCAAGAGCTATTTTCAGGGCACCAATGGGGTGCCACATAATTTCAAATTGGCTGCGACGTCCGGCGACCAGGAATCCAGACCGTTGTTACAATAGTTTGCCGAATTCGAAACATTCTCAGAAGGTGAGCTGTAGGCTGCGCTCACTACCCTCACAGCGTTCGGCTTATTGCGCGGCAGAAGTGCGCGCATGCCAGTGACATGTGGACGGTCGCCGACACTTGCGGAACACGGCGTTGGTCAAGGCATATGCGGGCCAGTGCGCCCAGCATGCAAAACAATATCAGTGACGCCAAACATGTGCAGTACGGGGGCCTCCTTTCCCTTCTCCGCGCCACCGTCGCATGGAAATTTGATTTCTGGCTTGGGAAATCAGCGCCACAGCGCCACGCCACCACCCGATCTCTCAAACCAGCGTTCTGTGCATGGACTCTCCTGTTACGGCAGGTCGCCACGTGCACTGCCCAGATTTTGCCGGGCACATTTTCGCGCCCTGATATATTTCCTCGCTTGCGCTCCCAGCACTGTGCCGGCGTTCCGGGAATGTTTGCCCCATGTGCGTGTCGCAGGACGCCGCGGCTGCTGCCAGTCAGGGCGGAACGCTGGGTCCGCGTTCGCGAACCGCCAGTGGCCCCAGGCGAGGCTGTGCCGAGCAGGCTTGGCGAGCACCGCCAACTGCAGGCCGTGCGTGCGCGCGGGGTTGTGCGACCCACAGATCGCCGACCCCAGCTTCACAGGGCACCTGGCGCATCGCATCCTCACGTGCCCGGCCACGGCGCCACACAGGCGGAGGATGGCCCCCGCGTGGATTCAAGATTTGGTCCGCCAGCACACGGACCCCGAAGGCGTACTCTCGCTGAGCTCGGCTTATCTTGATCTGCTCACCAGAGGCATCGCACCGTCTCCGGCCTCCGCGGTTGACCCGCCGCCAGAGCAGGAGACGTTCGAGTGGGTGGTCCCGCCTGGCCCGCTGGCCGCGCAGGTCAACGCTTACGTTGACGGCTCCAGATTGGATGGGGAAGCCGACCTGCATGATCTGTGCGCCCGGCAGGGATGGGCCATCGCTGCGTACGACGGCAGCTGGCAGCTCGTGGCAGCGGCGCATGGCCGCACCCCGCCGCGGGCGGTCGGCATCCACGCCACGGAGCTGTGGGGACTTCTGATGGCCGTCCGGTCCTGTGACCCCGCTGCTTCCCTGAAGGTGGACTGTTCCGCGGTGCAGCTCGGGGCGCAGAGAGACTTGCGGTGGGCCACCGCTCCCTGCCGGATCTTGGCCAGAGCGTGGGGGCCCATCTCGGTCGCTCTCGAGTCGAACCCAGACTGGGTGATGTGGATGCCAGCTCACAACGCTGCCACGAGCTAAGAAGATGAGCAACGGCGAGCTGGTGCAGGCCCACGACGTCGCCGGCAACGACCTCGTCGACGACTTGGCGAAGCAGACCGCTCGCCGCGGCGCGATACCCCGGGCCCAGGTGCAGCTGGTCCGCGCGGTTGCTGCACGCCTCCGCGATGCCGCCGTCTGGATAGGCCGGACCACCGTGTATGCGAACCGCTGCACCCTCGACGTGCTGGCGCCCGTGGACACGGGCTCCAAGCGCCAGTGCGCGCGCGACTCCGAGGCGGAGGGGCCGAGACGTGCCCGCGGCTGCAAGGGCAAGGCCGCGCCCGCCGACGGCGCTCGCGAGCCTGGCGGCCAGGCGGCGCAAAGGGACGTCCGGCTCGCCCCGCCGAGCGGCGCCGGGAGGCCAGCAGGCGGCCAGCCGGGGCGGCCGGCTGCCGCCGCCACCTGCTGCGGCGGTCTGGCACCAAGAGAGGACCAAGAAGGCCAGGGTGGCGGAACGCCTGGAGGCTGCCCGCGACGAGGCACTCCTGGCGGGCTGGCTGTTTAGCCGCCCGCCGCAGTCCACCGCGCCCGGTGCTGCGGCCGACCGCATGGCTGCGCTGCGGGCCCGCATAGCCGCGAAGGAGCAGCGGGCCGGGGCCGGGGGCGCGGCTGAGGCTGAGGCAGCCTCGCCGGGGGATCACACCTAAGCCGTGCGACGAGCACGCGAATTGAGGCCAGGGCAACACCTTCGGTGGGGCCGCAGCGCGTGCTGTCTCCGCGCCATTGACCAACAAAAAGGGTGTTGGTCGTGTGCCGGGTGCCTTGTCACCGCGGGGCCACGGCCAGGTGCGCCCGCGTCCTGAGCAGCAAAAACAAGCGGAGGAGTCACGCGAACTGGAGTTTCGAGTCGGTCGATCCCGAGAGGCCCTGGAGGCCCCCAGCTGACCCCTTAAGAGGCACCCCGCTGGCCTCGAGAGGGCTCCGCGAGGCACAGCGAGGGCGCCCAAGAGGGCCCGCGCGAGGGCACCCATAGGCGCAACTGCCCGTCGTCTTTCGGTCTGTGCTGCGTCTCGGCGTTCCTGCCGCCTCGTGCGTTGCACCCTCGGCGACTGCCGAGTGCCGAGTGCACCCCCAGGATCGCCCCCAGGACAGCTGACGAGGCATTCTAGAGAGAAGCCCCCAAGACGCCTCCTCCAGACGGGGGGGGGGGCAGCCGAGGCCCCCCTCTGGGGGTGGGGGGGCCCGCGGGCGCCCGGTCGTCGCGTCGTCCTCCACGCGAATGCGGCTACGTTCGACGACGTAATTACGACGACACGACGTTTTGCGAGGACGTCCGACGACGAGTGCGACGGCGCCTAGAGCCCAAAGATGGCCCAGGAGGCGCCTAGGAAGGCCCGAAGAGGGTCCCAAAACGACCCCAATGGGACCGAAGAGGGCAACGACGAACCGGAAGTAAAAACACTTCGCCCCAAGAGGCCCCCATAGATAGAACTGTGGAGGCCCAACGAGGCCCCCCCACACCCCAAAGAAGCCCGATGAGGCTTCAAATCGACCCTCCCAAGAGGGCCAAGACTGCCTCCAAGGGGCACCCTGGATGCCACCCACGAGATTCCATGCATGCGTACATGCATGCATACGCTGCTACGCGACTATATATACATATATATGTATATATGTATATATGTATATATATATATGTGTGTATATGTATACATATATATGTGTGTCTATACATATATAAATGGATATATATATAGGTGCGCATACATGCACACCTGCACACATACACACATACACACATACACACATGCAAATGCACATGCAAGTGCAACACAACAACACATTCAAACACACATGCAACTACATACTTATATATATATATGTATACATACATACATACATGCATATATATGTGGTGTGTATACATACATCCGCATATACGCACCTGCGTACACACATACAACATACGCCCGCACATATGCATATACATACAATTATACATGCATGCATCCACTTATGCATACACGCATACACACATATACGTACGTAACTACATACATACATGCATGTTTGCATACATGCATGCGTGCATGCACACATGCAGACGTACACACATATACAGACTTACATGCAGATCTGAACGCATACATGAATGCATGTGTTCATGTCCACCTACATCCGTACATCCATGCATACATCCATACATCAACCCACATATTCATACATACATACACACATGCACGCACACATACATACATACATACATATTTTCACACATACATGCAACCAAAGTCACATTCATACAGACATACACACATACAAACATACCCATACATAAACACATACATACATACACACATACATACATACACGCATTCATGCATACAAACATGCAGCCATCCAAACGCACACATACACCTGAATACAGACATACACTATCACATACCTACAACCATACATACACACATACATACATGCATACATGCATACATGCATGCATATACGCATGCATCACACACACGCATACGCACATACACACATACTACCTACACACATGCATACGTACATACGAACATACCGGTTTCCTCACACGTGCATGTGTACGAAGCACAGACACGCATACATACATGCATGCGACTATACATACATGCATGCATGCATGCATGCATGCATACCTACGTACACACATATGCAAACATACGTATACACATACATACATCGATACACGCAAACACACGTACATACAAACACCTATGTATACATATATGCGCACATACACACATACGCATACATACACGCATACACAAATATACATACATACATGCATACGGGTGAGACCATTTTCCTCGTTGGAACTGCTTGAAGGGCGTACTGGAGCATTTGTTTGGCCTTTTGGGGGCATCTTGGAGGCACTTGGAAGTCTATTGGGCGTTTGCTGGCAGTCTCGAGGGTCCTCTTTGGGCGGAGGGCTCGACATATCAGTTCGAGTTCCCTCTATTGGCCTTCTTCAGAAACTCGGTTGAGGCTCTCTTGGGCCGTCTTGGGGACCTCTTGGGCCATTCTGGAACTCTCTTGGGCCGCCTTGGGGCCCTCTAAGGGACCTCTTGTGCCGTCCTGGAGCGACCTTGGGGACCTCTTGGGCCGCCTTGGACGCTGTTGGAACCAAAACTGCGAACCTGCTAAACAATTAAGTTGTCCATCGGATTTTGAGCGATTTTGGCATCTCGGGGCCCTCTGGGGGGTCCTCTTGGAGCTCTCTGGGGGCGTCTTGGGGGCTTTTTTGGCCGTCTTGCGGCTATTTTGGCTGTTGTTGATGCCTCCTGGGCGTGCCGGAGCCCGGCCTGAGGCCAGGGAGTGTAGGAACGGAGGCTTTGGAACCCTGGGGGGCCGTGGAGGAGCTATTGTGAGCCCCCCCGCCCCCCCCCCCCCGTCTAATCGGAGTTCAGACCTCAGGGGGAGGGAGATAATTGGGGAGAGGGACTGCCAATCACCCCACACGCCTTGGCACCCCCAGCAAGCGGGTGTCGGCGGAGTTGTACACTTTCACACTTAGGTGTCCAATTGTGCACAGATACATATACTTATTCAACATCTATGTATACATGTACATGTACATCGGCATACATATATACATGTACGCTTACACCCACACATACATACACATTTAATGAACCATACACCTATACCAACACGAATACACACCGACAATCATATACATATCAATACACATGTTGACATACATATTCATATGCACACACTATGCAAATACCTACACATACACACATGGTGCCACATAGATACAGATATAATCATCTGCGCACATGTTTGTATATCAATAATGTGCACACACTATACATGTACATAAACACAGACCTCTTCACGCGCACTTACGAAGCCATATGCGTACACCTATACATGCATGTTGACATGCACGTATACATGCACATAATTATATATGTTCATAATCGTATGCGTCTGTATATGCATATATGTATACGTATATGATCAACCACAAGCAACACACAAACGCATCCATATTCACATACACATACACATACACGTACACATACACATACACACAACTAAACATACGCATACACTTACACACGTGTACGTAGCATACACATACACCTACACCTACACCTACACATACACATACACATACACATACACATACCTACATACATACGTACACCTATCTATATGTATGTCTATATGTATACACATGTATGCACATACACATACGTATCTATGTGATACGTATACATGTACTTTGTGCGATGACCTTACGGCCGGTGCCGCCGACCCTGAGTGGGGGCGACCACGACGACGACGACAACGGTGGCGGCGGCGACGACGACGACGACGACGCTGACGTGGGCCAGAGTCCTCAGGGATGCTTCTTGGGGTGTCTTTGGAAGGCTTTCGGTGGCCTCTACAGAAGGAGGACTTTTAATGCCTCTTGGGAGCCTCTTGGGGGCCTCTTAGGGCTTCCTGGGGACCTTTTGTTGGCCTCTTGGGGTCTCTTGGTAACCTCTCGGGGCCTCCCGGGAGCCTCTCGGGGCTCGAAATATCTGTGGGATCCCCCGTCTGGGCACGCTCGTGGAGCCGTCTTGGGGGCTGCTTGGGTCGTCTTGCGTCTTGGAGGCGTTTTGGGGTGTCTTGGGGTCTTCTTGGGCTGTTCTGGGGCCCTCTCAAAAGCCTCTTGGGGCGATTTTGGGGGCCTGCTGGGCCGTCTTGGAGCGGCGGGAAGCAGAAACGACGAAAACGCCACAATTAAAACCTGATGGAAAAGCCATGCGTTTTGCCTCTGCAGACCTCTTTGCACTGCTATTAGAAGCTTCTTGGGGCGTCTTGGAGGCCTCCTGGGCAGTCTGGAGAGCGTGAAGGCGTTTTGGACCGATCATTTGGCGATCGAGGGCCCTCTTGTTGGACCGTCTCAATGCCTCTTGGGGCACTCTTGGTTTGTCTTGGGGGGATGCGTAGCTGCCCCTACACCCCCTTACCCCTCACCGTGACCCCTCCCCTCCGGGACCCTCGGGGACGCCCCCCAAGACCCCAAGACCCCCCCCCGACCGGGAGGGGGTCAAAGGGAAGAGGTTTCCTTTCGACGCTTTCACGACATAAGTAGGTTTTTCTCAGGCTTGAGGGGCAGGGTGCAGGGAATGGGAACGACTGAGAAGAACGACTCGAACGCACACGCCGACAGGGTCGGCGGATTTGCAGATGCACACGCGAGGCGAGGTCGCGACGCGTGGATCGGTAGTCATCGCTGTAACGACTGCGAAATGCTGTGCAACTCAGGTTGTTGCGATTCAGAAGTGCAGGCCAAACAACCAGTGACCAGTAGTTGCTTCCCTCTATACCTCCTCCTCCTCCTCGCTCCTCCTCGCTCCTCCTCGCTCCTCCTCCTCCTCCTCCTCCTCCTCCTCCTCCTCCTCCTCCTCCTCCTCCTCCCCTCGATGGGCCCGACCACCGAGTCCCGCAGGCTGTTGAGCACAGTCGGGTCCGTGCGAGGGAACACAGATCGCTGCCACGTTGTTGTCGTGCAGTCTAAGTACCCAT